ATAATCTTTGGATATGAAAGAGATTATATCAAATCATGAAAGAAAATCAAATAGATGTCTTATTTCCCAATACTCTCTTTCCTACACCTATAAATCGACTTTCAAGTCCACGTGTCTCTTCAAGAAGGATCAAAGAATAAAGACCGTTAAGAAATCGTCTTTAATCAAGTCAAGTCTTAATATTTTATATGAGAATAAGTCTTTTGACCAGAAATTCTATGGTGCCCATATGGGCACCATAGAATTTCTGGTCTTTTGACCCCAAATTAATGTTACAAAAATTCAATATCAAGCCCAAAGAAGATCCAAACTTCAATCCATTTGAAAATCAGTTCGAAGTCCACGAAAAAAAAAAAATCAGATGAGACATATAGAGAATGTACTCGCAAAATTATTTGATCGAAATAAAACCAAGTTGTACAAAAATTTTATATTTTTCATAAAATTTATTGTAACAAATTTGGCTCGCTCAGTAGGACACGAACTAAAATTCATTATTACAAATTTGGCACGCTCAGTATAGCTCGAAATAAAATTTATTGTTACAAATTTGATAATGTCTGGGTAAACTCAAACTAAAATTTATTGTTACAAATGTGATGAATGTGGTATCATGGGCTTCAAAGCGATTGGTTAAAGCTCAATTTCTCATAATGGGTCGTTCCAACTTTTCATATTTGTAAACGAGCTTAAAGTTTCCATCAATTTCTTTGATGAAATATCGTAAGACAAATAGATGATTGTTGATGTCATATGGTAATAGATGATTTTATGTAATTTAAAATAATTATATATTGACATCTATATATATATATATATATAATAAGAATTACCATTTAACGAAAATAGTAACAAAAAAATAGGAGAGAATTTTATGCAACCTATAATAGTAAGTTTTATTATTATTTTACTTTTATATTTAAAAAATCATACTCATTAAATGTTGCATTATATTTTGGGCTTTAATTCATTTTATTATTTAAAAATTACAACTAAGATCTGTTAAGTGTATATTTTTCATTTTCTTCATGGAATTAAAGAAGAACATTAAAATCTCAGTTTCTATATTTATAAAATCTTACTTCAAAAGGTAATAAAAATTTTAGAATATCGGTCTTTGTATTTATGCCTTTCAAAAAAAATATTGAATGCTATTCTTTAAATATCATTTTCGACTAATCATCACAATTTTTTTATTTGGAATGTGTGATAATAAACTCGGTAATGTTTATTAATTCTTTGTTTACCAATCTATTGTTTTTTCTATACTCGGTTTCAAAAGGTAAAATAATTTTCAAATTCTCAGTCTCAATAATTGTGCATTTAAAAAAATATTTAATGATAATATATTATTTATTAATAGTACATAATTTTGAAAACTCTATTATAAATTGTATGTTGATATCCAAATCATTTTATAAATGCAATCGACTTTTTTAAATCTCCACGAAAATATGGTAAAACAGAATGAGACGATCAACTCGGTATAGAAATAAAATAAAATCAATAAATCAATTTGAAGTTCATAGAAAATTAACATAATGAATAATTTGTATAGTACATGGATCTAATAAATAATACTCACGTGGATTCTAAAATTCAAACTTATACTTATCATCATCTTCTGGAAATTGAATAATATATTGTAGGCAATATTTTTAAAATAATTTTAGACATGTTTTATTTATAAAATAGTTTAGAAAAATTTTAGGTGACTTCACATCTTTCAATAATGATATATAAAATTTTAGATACTTTATATACGTTATATAATATTTGAGGTATTTTTTATATTTTAAACATACATTTTTTATGTTATTTTATACAAGTTAATTTTATATTGTTTACAGTTGATATACGATAAATTATGCCACATATTAACTCTACATCTTAATTACAATTATTAGTTGATTTGTTTACCTTCATATTTAATTTATAATTATTTGTTAATATTGTTTACTATCATAGTTAATTATGCCACATATTAACTCTACATCTTAACTCTACNTCATCGTATATCAATTAAGTTCCGTTTTATATTGAATTCAAACTATTTGTTGTTATACATCATCATTCCAAACCACTACATTTTAAACCGCGGTCCGCGCGACCCAAAAACCGGTTTTTTCCCACTTACGGTGGACCCCACCAAGAGTTGGTTTACCAACTCCCCCACCCATCCATATGCCAGCTGAGTAGCTGGTGGTAGTTGGTGAAAAACACCATTTCCCCGCCGCCACGCCGTATAAATACCCCAATCACCCCAAATCCAAAATCTCTGACCAACCACGACAAAAATGCCGCCGGAGAAAATCGAAACCTCCGCCCCGCAATCGCCGCCGAACTTCTGGGGCGACGCGCCGGAGGACGAGTACTACGCATCCCATGGCGTCCGCAACGCGAAATCCTACTACGACACCCCTCACGGCAAGCTATTCACGCAGTCCTTCCTCCCGCTGGACACGGCGCAGCCGATCAAAGGATCCGTATACATGACCCACGGCTACGGCTCGGACACCGGCTGGATGTTCCAGAAGATCTGCCTGAGCTACGCCGGCTGGGGGTACGCCGTCTTCGCAGCGGATATGCTCGGACACGGCCGATCCGACGGGATCCCGTGCTACGTCGGGGATCTGAACAAGGTAGCGGCGGCGTCCCTGCATTTTTTCAGGAGCGTTAGGGTTAGCGGCGATTACAAGGACCTGCCGGCGTTCCTGCTCGGGGAATCGATGGGCGGGCTGGCGACGCTGCTGATGTACTTCCAGTCGGAGAAGGATCTGTGGACGGGGCTGATTTTCACGGCGCCGCTGTTTGTGATTCCCGAGCCCATGAAGCCGTCTAAGGTAATTCTCCTCTGCTATCCGATTTTCTTTCATTTCCGTTTTTTTTTTTTAAATTTTTGCTGGCGGATAAATCGATAGTAGCTTCAATTTGCGTTCCTCTGTTTTTTTGAATGACTGAGTTTTCTTTTAGGATCAATTGCTGTAAATTGACCTGATGATAGATCTGATCGATTCTCGGGTTTCTTCAATCCTAGCTAATTGATATGCTCAAGATAATGCTAATTATATAATTAATTTCTGATCAGGTCTTTTGTTTGGGAATTTTTCCAAGTTCCGTCTCCTGTTTCATTTCATTGGATAAACACATGTATTGGGTGATCATATTCATATTTTTTCATTCAACACAATAAAACAAGAGTAAACTTGGGAGTGGAACAAGAGATCTGATCCCGATTATGAGAGTTAAAATTTCTTTTTTAATTTTCTTGTCATCATCTTTTTAAGGGAAGATCACCGGACAAACATGATGCAAATCATATGTTTTCCTTCATCATTTGCATTAAGTCTTCGAGTAATTTTCCCAACATCTTAGCGCGTAATACACAATGATAGCAAGTGAAAATGCAATTTCTTAAAATATGAATAAGAACGAAATTAGGGATGTGTATCTAGGCTCATTTGCCACGAGGCCGAACTTCAAAGTTCTTTCAATCATTTCAAATCTTGTGATATCTTGATCTTAATTATGGCTCCATATTCTTTTCAAAGGTACACCTATTCGTGTACGGGCTCCTATTCGGGCTTGCCGACACATGGGCCGCCATGCCCGACAACAAGATGGTTGGCAAGGCCATTAGAGACCCAGAGAAGCTCAAAATCATCGCCAGCAATCCAAGAAGGTACACGGGCAAGCCTCGAGTGGGAACAATGAGGGAAATCGCGCGGCAGTGCGAATACGTGCAGAGCAATTTCGACAAAGTCACGGTTCCCTTCTTCACGGCCCATGGGACCTCGGACGGGCTTGCGTGCCCCTCGGGTTCGAAGCTGTTGTACGAGAAGGCGAGTAGTGAGGATAAGACTCTGAAGCTTTACGAAGGGTTGTACCATTCTTTGATACAAGGAGAGCCGGATGAGAGTGCAAATCTTGTGCTGGCGGATATGAGGGCTTGGATTGATGAGAGGGTTGAGAGGTATGGTAAGAAATAAGGATGATGATGATGATGATTATTGTGTGTTCATGTCTCTTCTTCTTCTTCTTTTTTTTTTTTTTTTTTTTTTTTTTTCATAAATCTAAACTTTATTAATTATTTATGCGTTAGGTAGAGGATTTGTCGAGGATGTATAGGCTCTTTTCTAAAATACCCAAGAGGCTTAGAACCAGTAGCCAATATCTTTAAGCAGGTGAGCAATGGTTTTGATTTTTTCATAAATGCAGTGGCTGACTAGAATTATATGCTATGCTGACTTTGCCAAGCTGTACATGGATTTAAATGCTAACATACAATGGTTTCTGAAATTCCAACACACAGCATGTTACCGGTGAAGGTACTTACTTGGTTAAACAAGCGGAAGATGCTGCAAGCAACAAGAAGGTTTGTT